GCACGTGTCAGGGGCGGAAAATGGCCGTGGACCACGTGTCAGGGGCGGAAAATGGCCGTGGACCACGTGTCGGGCGAAAAAATGGCCGTGGACGTGTCAGGGGCGGAAAAATGGCCGCGGACCCCATGTCAGGGGCGGAAAGATGGCCGACCACGTGTCAGGGGCGGAAAATGGCCGTGGACCACGTGTCAGGGGCGGAAAAATGGCTGCAGACATGTCAGGGGCGGAAAAATGGCCGCGGACCACATGTCGGGGCAGAAAAATGGCTGCGGACCACGTGTCAGGCGGAAAGATGGCCGCGCATGTGTCAGGGGCGGAAAATGGCCGTGGACCACGTGTCGGGCGAAAAAATGGCCGTGGACGTGTCAGGGGCGGAAAAATGGCCGCGGACCACGTGTCGGGGCAGAAAAATGGCCGCGGACCACGTGTCAGGGGCGGAAAATGGCCGCGGACGTGTCATGGGAGGGAAAATGGCTGCGGATCCGGTTTGTAACTCGAGGTGGTTCGCAACACGAGGTAAATTTTTGGGGCCGGAGCTGGTCGTAACACGAAAAATTCGTAAGCAGAGGCGTTCGTAACTCGAGGTACCACTGTACTTTGGGATCCTTCAAGTTTCTACTTTTTAATAGCAATGTGTTGCCATCAAGGACATGAAGTGTCTTCTACATGCATGCAATATCACCTCTTTCTGCTATCTGAATCAAATGAGTGCTGTCTGAAGTATTTAGCAAATAACTGAATGATGGAGGGCCAATAAACCTCAATCCAACTTTGGCATTGGCTGTTACTGGTTAAAATAGCTTATCCATGGTAGTCCATGCTTTGATTAGCCTCCTGACAGAAACAAAGAAACTTCAGATTTGATTAGGACAACCACTTGGAAACAGAGTATGGTAAATTTAAGCAAGCTCCACTGCTTGCTTACAGGTAGTCCTCACTTAATGATCATCCATTTAACAATGGTCTGTTTAACAATGGTCCAGAGCTACAATGACCTTGAGAAAAGTGTTTTATGATCCCCACGGTCACATGATCACGATTTCCGACCTTTTTATGATGGTTGTTAAGCAAATCACATGGTCGTTAAGCAAATTCCAGCAAAAAATGTCCATTGGGGAGGCTGGATTTGCTTAACGACCATGTGATTCACTTAATGACCATCGTAAAAAGGTCATAAAATATATAAATTGAATAAATAAATAAAATCAGGTCCATTTCACTTAACGATGAAATCACTTAGCGACCTAAATTCTGGTCCCTATTGTGGTTGGATAGCGAGGACTACCTGTACTTGCTTTTGTGGCTGATTCCAGACTCTGGTTCCTACCTTTAAAACCCTGAACAGTTTGGGTGCCAACTATATGAAGGAACATTTTCCCTGCATCAACTTATACTTTAAGTTCTGAAGAGGAGGCCCTTCTCAAATTGTCTTGTACTTAATAGCTAAGAAGATATGACACCACCTTTATGGAATATTGTCCCCACAGAAGTAGTTGAGGCCAGCTTCACCCTCATTTTGTTCCAGATGAAAACCTACTTACTGGTTGGCAAGCTTAAGTTAGTCTACTTTTCTGTATTTGATCGTCTTTGGGTATCTTTTTATTACTGTTGTAATAATAGCCACTTATTGATGTGTTGACAAGAAAAGTCCTTGCTTATGTTACATATTTACCATGTGCTCTTTGTGCAGGACCAGTGCTGCTTGCAAAACACAATTTGTTCATACTGTAGAGGTTGTGTATAAAACTATTCTGTGGTTATAGGTATTGCATGCTCTCCATATAACTGCAGGTTTGGCACATTGCACTAAGCCATGGTCTCAATATATATAATACGAAATTATTTATACACACTATAAAGCACAATTGCTAGGCTCATTCAACATGATGCTAAGCTAACATTAAGCAAACTACATAATGTGTGAATCTAGTTTTTCCTGGGGGAGACAGCAGAGGTAGATGGAATTACCTCAAGTGTCAACATCTAAAGAACAGCTTTTCCCCTCCAGCTTACCAGAGTGAAGACTTAGTAGTAAAGGTCCTTGTAGACTAATTGCAGGCAAGAAATTAAGCTTTCTGCAGTTGATACATGAACACTAGAGTGCTCACAAAGAATACCTGAAAGGCAGAGAAGTGAAATCCACTCTTCATTATCTACTGACAGATATGGCTTCCACATCATTATTCCATGTGTGCAAAGTACTCCATCATTTGTGCTGTTGCTAAGGGGGAAGAGCAGAATGGTGTAGCCTGATGCTATGCCTTGTGATATAGGTGATGGTCTCTTTTATAGATGTTGCACTATTACTGCTGCTGAGTTGCCAGTAGCCCTTCTCAGAACCTATTGTTTATTAAGAAGGAACAGTGGTGGTGAAAGTAAGTTATTAGGGCCATACCACTTTCCACAGTGTACCAACTAGAAAAAATACTCTAGCATGAAGTTTACTCGTGTACCGCTTTGTTAGACATCCACAGTTCCTTTGCTTTGAGAATAACTTGCCTATTTCAGTAGTTTATGCATACAATGGTACAGATGTGGCACCCAGGATATGAGTAATTAACCTTAAGAAAGGATCTCCTGATTTGCACAAGGGCACAGGGTCCCAAATAAATAGTGCAACTTGATGTATGCCTGCTCAAATATAGGCCCCACTAAGCCTCATGGGACTTAATCCCAGTTTTTTATTTGAGATATGGACAGCATCTTCAGTTTCTTGGTTATTTTAATCATTGTTTTTAAATATATGACACAGATTAAACATTTTGATGATGTATTACTATAAACCACTTGCTAAGAATAGACCGACAGTTTTACTAGGAGGGAGGCTTTTATTATGAATGTTCAGTGACTACTCATTATACAGGTTCTAAAGAGATCTAATAGTTAGTCAGCAGGCTCCTGAAATGCATAATTACTTATTGGCTGTCAACATATAGCTACCTAGCATGATACATACTTTGTGCCAAACCACACTGTGCCTCAGCCTTTATTACACGAACTGAATGCAAATACCACACAGCTAAAGATCTTCTAACAGAAACTGCAGAGTCCACAGAGGTAGCATATGTGTGTTTTGCAGAAGGCAAAGTTCAGTGTCACCAATACAGAAGCAGAAGCAGTTACCGTAGAAAATCCCCTTCAGTGACTCTCATAAAAAGCCTGTGCAGATCCATATTTATGCTTACCTCGATAAGAATATAAACCTCTAACTCAAATAGAGGTACAGAGGCCTCTAGAGATGGCAAAATTAGTTACAGCGGCAGAAAGTCCTAGGGATTATAACTACCAGTACAATACATATAGGAGCCTTCCCCAATTTGGTGCCTTTGAGATACATTAGATTTCAAACTGCACAATACCTGCAGGATGGAAGGTCAGAGAAGGCTGATCTATGCTATTACTGTACAAAAGACAGTAAACTTCACAGCGTTAATGAGAGTGAAATCACATGATCATATATAGAAACAGCAATCCCACATTCTCTGAGTGACAGTCCTTACAGAGCCAAAGTATCATTGTGTCTGCGCAGGAGAGAGGTATCTAAAGATCTGAGAGTATCTTGAGGCTGCAGAAGCATAAGTACTGAGGAAAAAAAGAAAAAAAATATTGGTGGGGACCACCCAAAGAAAGATTAAAAAACTCATGGATAAGTCAACTAGACATGCAGCTGAAATTTAAGCACATTTACAGAGGAAGTTTATTTAAACAGCACATGCTCCCAAGCTAAAATGTTTATTTGAACAGCTGTGAGTGTTGGTTTAAATTGTATTTTAGTATGTATTTTTTAATCATTTTAGTGTAAATTCTCCCCTTCCTTCAATGGATTATAGTATAATGTCAAGATTTTAGTAAGAATTAAATTTGACTTGCATCAGAAACACATCATTTTGAGTTTAAGTGTTGACTGAAAAGTGCTGTTGAAGTAGCAATAATACATTGCATTTAATGTGATTTACACTCAAATATATGCATATAATTACAAAGCTCTGCTATGAGCTTAGATGAGCTCTGGTATTATTGATGTTGAGTGGGGTTATTGTTTATCATTGGGCTTTGGAGGTTATGTGTGGTGGGTTTTGCATTTTAATCTTGTAAACTGCCCAGAGTCACTTGTGAGAGATGGGCAGGTATATAAATCATATAAACATATAAGGGCTTCTGATACACCTGACAGTCCCATTTCTCCATGTGGATTCCTTTTTTTATTTTTTTTAAAAAAGGAAAATAGAGCATTATTAATTACTAACTGTTCATTTTAAAATGGGTCGCTGCCATTTTTCGAATAGGATAACAACGCCAGTAGTACTTCTGACGCCTTATTTTCTTTCACCTTCCAGATTACAAAATTAAAGGAAATGGGCCAGCGGCAGACGTAAACAACACTTATTAGTAAACTGCAACATGCATTCAAGCCCGCCCAGCCCCAGCGCTTCTGCAATGGAGAGGCTGCGAAGGCACCGCTTGCCTCTCTCTACTGGGAAAAAGCGAGAGAGAGGCGACCACGAAAGGCTGTTAATTGGCGATGAACAGCAACTCCGCCGCTTTCCTGAGTTACAGACTTTCTTGCTCTCGGCAGAAATCGCTCTCCCGGTTCCGCCGCTTCCCCGCCGAAAGATTTCGCGCGTTTTTGCTTTCGATCGGATGGCGAGTTCGACAGCCACCTGGCGCCGATGCCCCCCGGGGTCTGCCGAAGGCGCAGCCTTCCCTAACCTCGCGCCCCGCGCGTGACGGACAACTCCTACCCTCTCCAGCCATGGGCCGTGTGGGGCTAGGCGTGATGGGAGTTGTAGTCCGGCCCAACATTTTTGAGGACACCACTGAGCGGAGAGAAAAAGGAAGGAAAAAACAAGCGAACAGGCAGGGGAGGCGCAATTCGGTGGCCCCCTCGCCTACTCGTTGCACTTTCGCGCTCCCCAGCCTGCCTTTTCCACTCACCGCCACGGAACCAGAGGAGGACGCGACGAAAACCCGAATGACCATCTTCCCTTCTTTCCTCCCTCCCTACATTCGCTTCACGGCGGCTCCCTCTGCCAAAGTCTAGGAGCGGCGAGCCTTCCGCGCCTCTGGGTTGCGTCGCTTCGCCTAGAGTCTGCCCAGCCTGCCGCGCTCCTAAGCGCCCAGCCCTTCCGCCCTACCAGCCGGCGGTCGCAGGGCGCGCGGCAGATAAGCAGGGCTGCGAGTGACTCTGAGATGCGGCAGGATTCCGAAGATAAGAGAAGGAGGCGAGGGGAAGGGAGGGTGCGGAGTGCAGGGATGTCTGGGAAGTGTAGTTTCACGGGCCCTGGCATAAAGAGAAGCTGACAGACTCCGACTCTTTTCCTTTCCTTTCCGTTAAAGTTAAAATGAGAGAAGGGTGATATACCAATAAATACAGCAATACACATCATCGCTTTACTACTGGGGGAAAAAAAGCAAAACCATCTCAGTGACAAACCAGTGGAATAGATAAATATCAACTGACGCTGACAACTGTAGGATGAAGGGGCTACAAGTATGCACTCACAACCTTGTCTGATTGAATAATGATTGGGCATCTAACTCATGGTTAACTGGACCAAAGCCCACTGAATCCAATTGCTTAGGCTCTCACGACACACTTGAGCCCAGCCAACCACATTAGCCTAGTCCAGTATTTCTCAACCTCAGCAACTTTAAGATGCATGGACCTCAGCTCCCCCCATTTTCCCACACACCTCTGGCGGGGGGAACCTGGGGCCTGAGGCACCCCATTTCCAATCTGCTTGTTGTAGTGATAATGGGGACAGG